ACTCTTGATCCCCTTGATAACCAAGAACCTATCTATCTCAGTCTTAAATGTACTCAATGATATGGCCTCCACAGCCTTCTGTGGCAGTGAATTCCATAGATTCACCAGTCTCTGGCTGAAGAAGTTTCTCCTTATCTCCATTCTAAGAGGTCTTCCCTTTACTCTAAGGTCGTGCCCTCGGGTCCTAGTCTCTCCTACCAATGGAAGCATCTTCCCAATGTCCACTGTCCAGGCCATTCGGTATTGTGTAAGTTTCAATTAGACTCCCCACCCCCCCCCCCCCCCCCCCCCCCCCCCAACAATTCTTCTAAACTCCAAGGGGTATTGTCCCAGAGTACTCAAACATTCCTCATATGTTAAGCTTTCCATTCCTGGGACCATTCTCGTGAACCTCCTTTGAACCCGCTCCAGGGCCAGTACATCCTTCCTGACATATGGGGCCCAAAACTACACACAATACTCCAAAATGTGGCCTGACAGAGCCTTATAAATCCTCAGTAGTACATCCCAATTTATATTCAAGTCCTCTCAAAACAAATGCCAACATTGCATTTGCCTTCCTGACTACTGACTCAACGTGCAAGGTTACCTTGAGAGAATCCTGGACAAGAACTCCCAAGTCTCTTTGCACTTCAGACTTCTGAATTTTCTCCCCATTTAGAAAGTAGTCCATGCTTTTATTCTTCTTACCAAAGTGCATGACCTCACACTTTCCCACGTTGTACTCCGTCTGCCACTTCTTTGCCCACTCTCCTAACCTGTCCAAATCCTTCTGCAGCCTCCCCACCTCCTCAAAACATGTCCCTCCACCTATCTTTTTGTATCATCTGCAAACTTAGCCAGAATGCCCACAGTTCCGTCATCTAGGTCATTAATGCATAAAGTGAAAAGTTGCGGAACATCACGTGTCACCAGCTGCCATCTTGAGAAAGACCCCTTTATCCCCACTCTCTGCCTTCTGCCAGACAGCCAATCTTCTATCCATGCGAGCACTTTGCCTCTAACACCATGGGCCCTTATCTTACTCAGCAGCCTCCTGTGTGGCACCTTATCAAAGGCCTTCTTGAAGTCGAGGTAGATAACATCCATTGGCTCTCCTTGATCTACCTTGCTCGTTACTTCCTCAAAGAATTCTAACAGATTTGTCAGGCATGACCTCCCCTTGATGAAACCATGCTGACTTTGCCCTATTTTACTATACACTTCCAAATATTCAGAAATCTCATTCTTTACAATGGACTCCAAAATCTTACCCAAGGCCGAGGTTAGGCTAATTGGCCTGTAATTTTCCGACTTTTGCCATACTCCCTTTTTAAACGGGGTATCACGTTAGCAATTTTCCAGTCCTCTGGGACCCTCCCTGACTCTAGCGATTCCTGAAAGATCACCATTAACGCTTCCACTATCTCTTCAGCTATCTTCTTTAGGACTCTGGGGTGTAGTCCATCTGGTCCAAGTGATTTGTCCACCTTCAGACCAATCAGTTTTACTAGTACCTTTTCCTTGGTGATGGCCACCATACTCAGCTCTGCCTCCTGACTCTCTTGAATTTTTGGGAGATTACTCGTGTCTTCCACTGTGAAGACTGACACGAAGTAATTATTCAGTTCCTCAGCCATTTCCTTGTTCCCCACTACTATCCCTCCACCATCATTTTCCAGTGGTCCAATGTCCACTTTTGCCCTTTATATATCAAAAGAAACTCTTACGGTCTTCATTTATATTACTGGCTAGCTTACCCTCGTATTTAAACATCTCCCTCCTTTTTTTTTTTGTTGCCCTCTGTTGGTCTTTGTAAGGTTCCCAGTCCTCTGGTTTCCCACTGCCCTTCGCCAGATTATATGCTTTCTCTTCTGCTTTTATGCTATCCCTGACTTCCTTAGTCAGCTATGGTTGCCTCATCCTCCCTGTACCATGCTTCTTTTTCCTAGGGATGAATTTTTGCTGCATCTCCTGAATTACTCCCAGAAACTCCTGCCATTGCTATTCCATTGTCTTTCCTGCTAGGCTCCTCTTCCAGTCAATTCTGCCCAGCTCCTCTCTCATACCTCTGATTCTATCTTCTCCCTCTCAAATTGTAGAGTAAATTCAATCATTTTATGATCACTGCCTCCTCAGGATTCCTTTACTTTAAGCTCCCTTATCAAGTCTGCCTCATTGCACAACACTAAATCCAGCATTGCCTGTTCCCTTGTGGGCTCCACTACAAGCTGCTCCAAAAAGCCATCTCAGACACTCCACAAACTCCTTTTCTTGCAACCCACTACCAACATGATTTTCCCAGTCCACCTGCTTGCTGAAATCCCCACGATCACTGTGACTTTGCCTTTCTTACACACCTTTTCTATCTCCTGGTGTATCTTGAGCCCCAGCTCCTGACTACTGTTTTGAGGCCTGTACACAATACACTGATGGTAAATCACTGTATTACCATCTCTGAAGGATCTGCTAAATTGCAACAGATCATGTTGAGGCTCTTCTTGTACCGCGAGCCAGAGAGAGAGGCAGAGATGGTGAAATGGCCTTCAGTCGTCTTTATTCAGAGAACTTCCTATTCCATGGTTCTGAGATTAAGCACGAGCTGGAACTACTACAGCGAGTAGAAATGGCTTTTTTTGGGCCAGATTGTACCAGATACAAAGTGCTACAGTTATCAGATCCTCAATATAATCAATGGACTTTTTTTTCTTACAGCGTGTTCTTATTGTCATATCTAGTGTGGTCATGGATGAATCTGGGATTTTTGCTGTAAAATACGACTCAGGTGATCTTGATTATTGTGTGACAGCCCTTCCAATTCTGGCAAAAATTTCCATTGTTAGTAATGAGTGTGTCATTGTCATTTCTGGTGCCTAGACCAACAACTAATGACTTATTCAATTTTACTATCATTGGAATTTTCTGTAAGAGATTGATAAACTGAGTAGCTTGTTCGATCATTTCAGAGGGTAGTCAGTCACATTGACTGGGACTTCAGGCACATGTAGCTCAGACCACAGAAAATTGGTGATTTGAGTTTTCTTGGGATTTTCCCTGAAATCACTAGTTTCAACAGATTATAGAAATTGTCTTTTAGTTGTGAACTTGTGAACATAAATTGGATTCCTCAAAATCTTTCCTGCTGGCGTGTTTACTGGTACTCAACAAGATGATCAAAACATTAATTTAGAAGTTATCAGATACCTATGGCAAATGATGGCTGCAGCAGACAAATCTGTTTATTGTATTTTTGCATATTCCTCTAGCAAACAAAATATGCAGATATCAGTCGGCAATAACCTGAATAAGCTAACAATTAAACCATATGGATATACTGAAAACCATCTTGCCTCAACATTAAGCAGTAGACAAATAGAAACAGTCAATATCTTACAGAAACTAAATCAAAGCTCTAGCAGAGAAATCACTTACAAATTAAAGCATATTCTACTGTATTCTTCTGGTTAAATAGACTATAAAACTTGGTGCATGAGTCAGCCAGGGCATAAGACAACCCCATTTTCCAGCCCTAAAAATCATGTTTGTGTATATATTTAGTATTTAAATCAACTCTCCTTTCAGCCAGAACATGCTGTGTGCACAGGAGTGAGCTTCAATTCTTTTTTGACAACAGAAATGCATGTCTTACTTTTAAGTTATCTTATAACTGGGCACAAAGGATCATGCAGGTGATATGGTCTGTACTGCAAAATGTAAAAATTGTCACGCCCACCCTTTGCATCAGACACCAATTACACTTCACCACCGACACCAGTGGTTCTCTTAGAACCATTGTACACCAAATGAGACGCTTCAAAGGTCGACATATGCCGACATCTACTATCATATTCTTGAAAACCAAAATCAAAATAAATTATGTTAAACATACACTAGTACTCTCCAATTGATGGCTAAGCAATGTTCTTAACCAAAGCTGCATTTTTAATTTGAAACAATTCAAATATAGTGCAAAACATTTTTTTCATAATTGGAACCTAATCATTTTTAAACTTTCAAAATGTCAAAAAACTTAAAAACAAAAAACAGAAATTGCTGGAAAACCTCAGCAGGTCTGCCAACATCTGTGGAGAGAAAGCAGAGTCAACCTTTCAGGTCTGGTGATCCTTCTTCAGAATGTTCTTATTTTACCGTTCTGAAGGCGGCTCACTGGACCCAAAAAATAAACTCCGCAGATGCTGCCACATTTGTGGAGTTTTTCCTGCAAATTTTATTTTTGTTTCTCATTTACAGCATCTGCAGTTCTTTGTTTCTTTGTCAAAAACTTGAAGCGTACGTATATTCTAGGAATAATTGCGACTGATGCCTTCCTCTTTTGACTTTCAACATTGATTCTAGAATAGAATTCGCTTATGTGTATTGAAAAATATATCTTCTATGAGTTAACAGTTAAACAAAACTAGGCAAAAATGACAACTGACAAGGTTTAGATAAAATCATCTATTAAAAAAATACATCCAGTCACCAGTCCAATAAATAATTTTCCAGTAAATTTACTACTAAATAGACATTGAATATATTTTTCAATATTTAGAGCTCTAGTATACAACCAAATACACCATCATTCAGTGGTTACTCGATAAAGTGCAGTTTCAATTAACCACTGCACAATTTGTAACATTACATGGAAGACAGAAATATACCATCCATCCCTGAACAAGGCACATTTCACTTTATTTTACCAGTGCAAGAATATTCCACAAATAAGACTTGTATATTAATGTTTTCCCATTTCAATCATTTTTAACTGGTAGAAAACCTCAATAGATAATATATTTGAAGCTGACTTTTTTTTCCTGTTCATGTAGCTAATTATTCTTCCTCTTATTCAGAAATGCAACACTGGAATAAAACCCAACTAGATTCAACCAAACATATAGATAACTTTAAAAAATAGTGCCACATTTTTAAAAGTAAATCAATTCCAGTAAAGGAAATAATAAAGCATTTATTTATTTCTGCCTTTGTACTAACTAACATCGATGAAATAAGGAGCCAATTAGTTCCAAGAATTAAGCTTTTTTCTTTAATGAAAGATCACTTTTTTCTGTGAGTGCTTTCTTCTCTCAAAGGTAACACTTGAATGGAATGTTTACATATTCAAACACAGTCATCTCAAAATGTAAAACACTTTTCCCAAAAAGCTAAGTGTATTCAGCATTCAAATGAAAAACCACCACAGTGCTGATGACCTGTATTTGGGAAATATTTAAACTGAGTTCAGGTATTATACACAGTATCTTGTTTTCAACTGCAATTATAATGCTACAGTATACTTCAATGCACTGATGTTGCAAAGTTGATTCTTGAAGGAAGTGTGAATTAAGTTCACCACAGTCCAAACTATGCAATTAGTTTGCATGTTAATAGGCCAAGGCACAAGATGTTAAGAAGTTTCTATTCCAAATTGTGTATGAAACTTTTCTAAACAAGATGTATCGAATTTTGCAAATCAAGAACATTTCTCTCCCCTGCCCTATCCCATACTGTATGGCTTCTTTCTTAAAAAAAAGGAACCTCAGTTATTGTTTGTGCAATTGGCATGTTTCATTAGAGTATCACGTACAGTACTAAAAAAATGGAAGACTCTTAGTTGGGATATATGGAGTGAAGCACTCCAAGCCTAGTCTTGAAGTAATATTGGTCCTTGAAACAGATCAGCTCATTGCCTGACCTACCAGCTGAGAATGTTCTGTTCTATTGGATTGGGAAGCCAATACCACATCTAGAAAGATTTATATTAAAAAAAATGAGCAAAATGTCACAAGTTTTAAAAAGTTCCTTCATTTCAAATTCTACAAATTTTGATGGCAAAGGAATCCAGCATGAAAACAGAAAATGTTGAGTATAGTGAGGCAAATAGTTAGCTCATTCAATTGCATATTGAGATGAATGGTCTCCTGCTGTGCTATTTGATTCTCTATCTACAACAATTCCCTGAAGAATTTTCAACTTTAAAAAATATGTTGTGGAGGTCCTCAGAGGATGTGCATTTACTGGGGCTCTCCATTACAATTTTTTTTTTTTTAAAAAGTCTCTAACTTTCTGGAAATCAATGATTCATGATGGCCATACCATACAATGGGCAATTATTTCCTCCTGGAATTTTATCCAAGCAGTCAGTCAATCTTCATGTCAGCCTACTCAATGTTATTAGGTTATCTCACTATGGAATGGCATGAGAAAAGGACCTACGTCAATCATATCCTCATCAAATATTCAGTTGTGCTCTTTTTAGCAAGGCATTACTGAATCACAATCAAGAACGAGAAATATCAGGCAGATTTTGTAAGAATTTTGAGTTCTTTAGTGCAGCTTTGATTAACTAACTTACCAAGGGCCAGGCATTAAAAATGCAAACTTGGTGTTTGTACAGCTGCTTTACACAAACTTTAAGAACTGAGTTGCCAACAACCTGTTAAGCAGGTACTCCATGAGAAAAATAAATCTATTTTAAGCTGACAAAATAATTAATCTACAAATGCTAAACATACTAACTGACCTGTTGATTCCTGACTCAATTGTATACTTGGCATTAGAGAAAACACTTGCTGCAGCATAATATGATATTAACACTCAACTGATTAGACTGAAAAATCATCTTGCACCTCATTTTCTGGTTTATGTAAAAAAAAATAGCTGCCTGCTTTTAACTGCAGTTGGCAAATCTGTATGCGACTTTTATGATTTTTCTCCTTTGCTCATTTTCAATTCTGCTCCCATCAATTCTGACAGTTTAAAACATTGTCTTTTTGCTTGCAAATGCCAAGGGACCAGTATTGCATCTTCAGCATTTTCCATTTTTATTTAAAGTCTAACCCGAGTATAATATCTATTGATCAAAATCCCTAACAAGAAAATCTACCAAGACAAACATACGATTCTGTTACTTCTCTAGGATTCCCAAACTTGAATGCAATCTAAAATATGAACAGCATAAATTATGGAATTGCTCACATCTCACTTTAAAAAAAAAACTAGCCTCAACATTTCTTTATCATATCCATATCATCAAGTATTTCCCACCAAAAAGGGTAAACAGGAACTTAGTAAAAACAGGGAACTTACTAAAATGTACTGCTAGAAATGTCTTCCAATGAAATTAGAGCAAGTATAAATTGGCTGTGGACAGCTTCCACTGATGTCCCCAGTATTAGGGAATGTGGTAGAAAATGAAAAGCATCATGAGAAAAAGGTAGGACAAGGACAATGTATGTAATGAATTGGGTAAGATGCATTTCTGGAATGTGATGAGGACATTATGATGAGAAAAGAAATTAGGATGGTGCAGGAAGAGTTACCAGAGAGATGTAGCCACATCATACCACATGATACTGCACATGGCCAAAATAAAGAAACAGCTAGAAACTATAGCAGGCCTACTCAAAAGACAGCATCTTTTGAACTGATTATATAAATTAGGCAAAGACCAACATCAAGAGACTAAATGGCAATGGAAGTCAAGATTGGAAGTATCGTGATAAAAAGAAGACAAATTCAATGAAACTGACTTAATTATAAATAAAGTTATTTCCAAGATTGAAATACACGTTAGATTAGCTACAAAAGGCATGACCAGTGATCTAAACTTGTGTCTTAAAATTCAAAAGCATGAGCACAAATCCGGAAAAATATCTAGTCCAATCACTAGTGTGGGGTGTTACACGCTGTGGCTGCAAGAGTTAGACTCTGAAGAAAGTGAAAGGAGGATAACAAATGAAATATGGGTACAACAGTGAATGCTCAGAATCAGTTGAAGAGAAAGACAAATGAGTAGTGTAGACCAAGAATCAAAAGGATTACCAAGTAGTTTAGACGAGGGGAGGAGGTGACAGAGAGAGAGAGCAAGAACGAGAGAGCAAGAGTGAGAGAGAGAGAGCGGGAGAGACTGCCAAGCAGAGATTTTACACAAAGAAAGACAGCTTGTTCTACCATCAACTGAAAGAGAAAATGAGGATAAAAACAGTAGATGTAATAAAATTAGATGGGATGGATAACATTGGAAATGTTGACAGAAAGGCTTTAAGAAAACCAGAAAGAAGCATGACAAGTGATCCCACTAAGGCCGAAGTGACAACAAATGAATGACTGCATGATAAAAAGGTACTGTATAAATGCAATTTTCCTATTTAAATTATTTGTACATTAGATACAGCATAAATGGGAGATCTGTATTACCAGCCTGTCTCATTTCAAGCAATGGACGAGAAAACAGTCAATCCAGAATAATTCTGGTTCTGTTAGCATTCAATACGCATAGAAGTATATCATACAATAGCCTTATATTACATTTACGAAGACACCCCTATAGGCAACAACATCTGATCATTGAGGTTATGACTTGATAACTACTGAAGGAACATTTCCATCTCAAAACAAATATACTCATTTATTCAAAAATTATAAACTTCCCATAATTTACCTTTTTAAAAATAAATCTCTATCCCATAAACTTGCGGCTAAAAGAGCCACCCTCAAAAGAGAATCACACAAACAGAATTAGCATACTAATCTTGAAAAGCACAAATCATTTAACCTTTAATGGGTTATTAAGTTGTCATCTGAAAATTTACATTCCAGATGTCCACTTTGGCTTAGACTTTAAAGCAACAACCAGGACATTTGTGCTAAATATAAAGATTCCATATATATTCAACAAGGAATGGACTAAAGAGATAAACCTATTAAGACTAACTACTTCTGTAAAAAGTCATCATTTTTCAGAGCTGTAATAAGCCAATCTTTACCTTGCTCATCATCCGAGTCACTCATATCACTGGTATCAGCTAAGAGCTGCGAATAGTTTACCCTCTTTTGCCGAGGAATTTTTGACTGTGCAATGAGGAAGACTACTAACCAAACCATAGCAATAGCTGAACATGCTTGATAAAGTCTTTCTATGCCAAAACTGTTCACAATGAAGCCACTGCAAACACTGCCAATGCTTGCACTTAGACCAAAGGATAAAACATGGTAGATTTTATGGAGTGTTCTTTCAATACCAGGGGTAGCTAGATCATTAACTTGACCCCAAACAGCCCACCACAAGGCACCATTGCTAAAAGCATTCAGGATTTGAATAGGCAATACTGCCCAAGAGGACCAGAGGAATGAATAGTAAAGCAGCTGGGCTGTGAGGCATACAAGTCCAAATGCCACTGATCCAGAGAATGACAGGATCTTTAACATTTTGTCCTTGAAAAGATAAAGTAGAACTTCAGCTATAAATCCAATTGCTACAGCAATGCCCATAAAAGCCTCACTGCTTCCATTGTTCTGCATTTGCCAGAACAGGAAGTTGTTTATTGTAGATCTAATAGCTCCTGTGATAAAGACTGTGATCACATATAACATAGCCCTTCCATCACCTCCCAACAGATGCAACCCTTTGACAGTGCGGTTTATCATGTCATTTTTCTTAGCTGTGTGAATTGGATAGAACACACCAACAACAAGTGTCAATGTAATCAACACTGCATAACCATAAAAGTGCACTGCAATCCTAGAAGTATATGCATTAATAAAACAGTGCAGCCTATCCACAAGAATCCCAATACTAAAAGCTGCTCCAGCTGTGCCCAAGTAACCCCAAATCCACTGTTTACCATAACGGTCAACAGAGTCAACGAAGTCCAGATAGTCATAGAGCCCATCATCTGCAACCCACTCCAAAGCTGATGCTAGAACCTCCCATAGAGCCACAGCTAGTAAAATAAGCACGAGTGTCTGGTGTTGGTTATCTAGAATTTTAAAACTGTGATCAGGCTCAGTGTTAATGTGCTGCTTTTCTAATCGGTCTTCAGAACCAGTTTCCAAAGCAACATCCCTTTTCATGATGCCACTGTTAACTGAACTAGAGTAAACATCTAAAGTGCTGTTTTTCTCCTTGTGATCTTCTTTAAAAGAAAGATGCTTGGCAGATTCTCCCTGGGTTCTTACATGGCCAGACTCTTTCATCTGTAGAAATTGGTTCAACTTTGATTGACGATTATCATCTCCAGTTTGTGTACTACCCCTATTTTCTGGAGTTGATACATACAAATATGTAATATTGCTCAGTTCAGTCTTGTGTGGCTGTTTTAGAGGGTTGATTCTGTTTGTAATAGATGCTTCAACAGTGGTCAGCCCCGGGAGGTTTTCTTCAATTTCAGCTTGAAGTGTTGAACTAGGATGGCTTGTTAAAGCACCATTCACTACTGTTGGAAGAATGGTATGTGCAAATTTATTCATCTTAATGTCACTGATATGGTCTTTGACTTCTGGTCTTGTATTTTGATTCCAACCATTTTTTGCATATATACTTCTGTTACAGAATTTGTATTCTATTTCCTTATCTATAGGTGGAATGAGTGTGAATAGAAGGCCTGCTCCTACTGATGACAACAAGGAACCAAGTATAAGAACTCTTCTTTTGTTATGGCGCCCAGCACAGTAAGACCAAAAGGGAGTACAAAGCATGAAGATAAAATACTTTGCTCCCATGATAATGCCAACAAATTGTGCAGTCAATCCAAGCTGCCTGAAGTATATAGTAAGGAATGGAACTACACAGGCTGCTGCTGCACTATGAAGAAAGTGATAGAGACTGGCAAGAGCCAGTGCTTTGCTGACATTCCACTGTTTGTTTCTCTTCATGGCTCTATAATTTTCCCAACAAACATTCCAGTTGGTAATCTGAAAAAAAACAGCCAAAAAAATTAGGCAAAAAGTGGATTTAATTCAAGATCTCTAAACAATATATCTTTCATATTACACAGTTCCCAATTAAAATGTGAAATGTCTATCCAGCAAAGCAATTAAACTATTTTTACATGCTCTATTTGGGTTATCTTGGAGATCAACAATAGTTTCCAGTTTCTTTTCTCCACTACCAGCCATGTTCATAAACTGATTCATCCATTCCTAAATGAGTAGGTCTTTAGCTCTATTATTAAGAACATTCATTCAATTGCTTCTCTATGCAAAGCTTACTCCAGATTCCTCTGCCCTAGCCTTCTAGTTTTCTCCAATTCCTCTCCTATCTGCCAGTTTTCCCTTTACAAGCTCGTCCATGGGACTTCCTTGAACCCATTCCAACTAATCTGTAGATCATTCAAAATCCCATTTGGATCCCACATGATGCCTGATATTGTAACATTTCTTCTTGAATATTGTTACCTACTGAACCCATGCCCATCTCCAACTTACATCCCCTAAACTCTCCACCCAGCCCAATGCGTCAAACCCATTGGGATGTTCTCAATCAAGTTTCTCCCTTATCACAGAACTAAAATGTCCCTCAAAAATGTAATCTGAGACTGTGCTACATTATTTACCACCCCTTTGCAAAAAATCCAAGTCTTTGACCACATTGTTTTCATTCACCACATATCCTCTTCATCTTTCCTGCATCTTGGATTGTGCTTCCTCTCCATCCAAGGACCTTCCAACCTCTACACCAGTAACATCAGGGTACACCCCTCCCCCTAAAACAATCCCAAGTCTTCATTTACGTTGAAGCCCCTCAACTATGACTATGCTTCACTGATTAACCTCACTGTAAGTTCAACTCAGCCAGATTATCTCCTGCCCAGTACCTACCTGGCACCGTCTCCTTCCCACTCTGGACCTCGCTCCTCTCAAAGCCTTGGATTGATTTATTATTTATTAAGCCCTTCATGGTGTCATCCTATTGTTATAACCTCCACCAAATCATTCCTTCCTCCCCCTCTTCTTCCCAACAACTTGTCGTTATGACTTCGTTTTCTATTGTTTATAACACCTTCCTATAAACTAACCTCTATCCAAACTGCTGATCACCCCTTCCTAACGTCTCCTCGGGTCAGTTAACATTCGAGTATCTCGGTGAAGCCGCTCCAGGATATTTGTCGACGATACAAGCACGACACAAATGCAAGTTGTTATTAGAACATGAAGAGCAAAACGTCCCTCCTTCGCTGCCTACCGATTAAAATGTGAAATTTGTTTGGGGCAAATGTTACAGCCAGGACAGGTCGGCCAATCCAAGCTAATGAGGAAATATTAACAGGAAATGTTAGACTCAGATGTGATCTCGCACCTCAGCAAATGAAAGCAAGACAACTTTCAAAAACCAAAGCCTCTTCCCAGCTGTTCCTCCCGGGAGCCAGCCGCCACCGACTCACTGCCCAGGCCCGTTTGACGGATCGTGGCTGAAGTTTCAGACCGGGGTCGCCTCGTACAAACGTCCAGCGAGAGTGGAGTGGAGGAATGGGTGGGGCGGGTGAGCCGTCACTCACACCGGCCTCCCAATGAGCGAGCAGAGTGCGGGGCACGTGCATGTTATCCCCGCCCCATGTCTATCACCACGTAATTCCCCGCGCTAGGCTACTAGATAACCCCGCCCCCATCCCACACGCGTGCACTGTCTTCTTTTCAAAAAGAGATTTCGGTTTGTTTTCCCGCCCGATGGATCATACCCTCGAGGACCCGCTGGTGGGCGTCTGGGAGTACTGGCTGCTCCCCCGGCGGAATATGACCTCCCTCAGCAGCACCATCTACTGGCTGCCTGCATCGCATGGTGTAACAAGGAGGTCGTTACAGCTTTGTGGATGGATGGGATCCTTGATTTGCTCCAGCAGAACATTCCAATTTGGTTCGGGGGCAATGAGTTTAAAGAGTTCTGCAGCTAGGCGTTATCTAAACTGATTGACATCAGAGTAGTTGATCTTTGACACCATGGTGAACAGCCATTTTCTAATAGATTCTATACGTAAGAGCGTTATCACACAGCCTTGCTGGGCTCAAATCTGGATTTTTGAAGGCAATCGTATCCGATTCTTATTGAACATGTGAAACAGGGTCGAAGGCTGTCCTTGACAGATGCAGTGATACCATTGTAAAGCAATTGCAGAATTGTTTTGAAATTTCTTGGGCATTCAAATTTTCATGCCCTCACGATTTATTGAATCAATGCTTTTATCAAGTTAATTATCACAAAGAGTTCGTAGTGATTCTTAGCATTTTCCTTGAATTTGTCTGGCACCCTATCCATCACCTTCAAAAATCACTCCCTGATGCACAGTGGCAGCAATGTGTGCCATCTACAAGATGCACTGCCATAGTCCACCAAGGGTTCTCTTACAGCACCTTTCAAAACCATAAACTCAATGATTTAGAACAAAAGTGGTAGCAGATATGCGGAAGCAACAGTTCCTGCAAGTTACCCGCCAACCAACGCACTACCCTCACGTCAAAATATAGCACCATTCTTTCACTGTAACTGAGTAAATATTATGGATCTCCCCAACAGCATTTTGGTGTCCCAAAACTGGAAGGGCTGTAGAGATTCAAGAAGATAGTTAGTTGTCCAGCAGAATGAGTGATGTGCAATAAATGCTGGCCTAGCCAGCAATGCCCACATCCAATGAATGAAGATAAAAAAGAATTCAAGCAAAAATGGCCTAGATACAGTGCCTGGATGGCTGAAAACTAACTCCCCAGCAAGTCATGTTCTCTCAACACTCAAATGACAAACATTCCAGAGGAGCACAAAACTCTAAAAGGATACCCCAAAGCTGCCCTTGAAGCACAGTATTGTTGATCCACATGTTCAGAATGACAACAAATTTCCATCAAGCTGCATGATATTTGGAGTCCCAATGGATTCACAAAGAGGCAGTGTGGCACCTGAGAAGAAAAGCAAAGGAGCAGATCTGTACTCTGGATTCCACGATCTCGTGGGACTCCTGCCCATGCAACCGAATATCTCTGTGTACTAATCTCTCTGTCACATGAAGATCCTGGCTGAAATTCACAATTGTACTTCATCCTTGATTCAAGTGGTATCTGATGACGTGAAGAAAAGTCACGATATTCAAAAGTTATCTATTTTTATCGCTCTGCAGATGCTACCAGACCTTGAGTATTCCCAGCATTTTCTGTTTTGTACTGAGTGTTCCAGTTAAATTATAACCCGTAATTACATAGCACCTGCAACACAATAAAACAGGTAAAAAGCTTTGCAGGAGCATTATAAAGTACAATCTGACACTGAACCTGATATGTTAGAGCAGTTGGTCAAGTACGTTCTCTCCCTTTCACCCCTTAATTTACATCCATTTACATCTCTTTTTTCTTTCACTACCATTAACAACCCTTTGTCTTTTGCACTGAGCCTCTATGCCAATTCTGTGACTAGAGATGTGTTTCCAGTGGAGTTCTGGAGAGCTCAGTATGGAGCCACTTCTGTTTGTTGTGTATATTAATGATTTGGATTTAAAACGTAGGGAATATGATCAAGAAGTTTGTGGATGAAGTGAAAATTGGTAGGGTAGTAAACAGTGAGGAGTGCAGTGGTAAACTGCAGGAGGATAGCAATAGCCTGGTGAGATAGGGAGTAATGTTCCTTCCAAGTGCATAGCTGTGTGCATGCGCAGCCTGTCTGATGTTCTCCAAATCATGTCTACTTTCTCCAAACAAAAACATTCACACAAACACAAAGAATAACAGACTCTGCAAAGAGGAGTTATTTAAAAAAGAAACAAAATTTTAAAAATCTGTCTGGAAACAAACGACAAAAGAATAAAAAACAATTTATTGTCAATAAAATGGAAATGCTGACAGCCAAAGACTGATCGAAGGTTTTGAGGTTGGAATAAAATCAAGCGGGATGAAGGTTTTCAGGTTGGAATAAAATCAAGCAGGATCAGAGTCTTTGGAAAGTGGTCAGTTCAACTTTTCATGGTTTATAAGACAATTTGAGATTTGGAAAGTGTCAGATTCCCAAGATAACTGGGGAAGGGGGGAGGGAGGGAGAAAGAGAGAGACAGCCATGCAGCTTCAGATCTCTCCCTCTTGTGACCACCTTGGTCAAACAGAACTCTAGTCCTGAAAGGGTTGCTAGGCAACCATTAGCACAGGGACGTATTGTTTTTTTCAAAGATAACAAGGTGTAGAGCTGGATGAACACAGCAGGCCAAGCAGCATCATAGGAGCAGGAAGGCTAACGTTTCGGGCCTAGACCCTTCATCAGAATTGGGGGAGGGGAAGGGGGTTCTGAAATAAATAGGGAGAGAGGGGGAGGCGGATAGAAGATGGATAGAGGAGAAGATAGGTGGAGAGGAAACAGACAGGTCGAAGACGCGGGGATGGAGCCAGTGAAGGTGAGTGTAGGTAGGGAGGAGATAGGTCAGTCCAGGGAGGATGGACAGGTCAAGGGGGCGGGATGAGGTTAGTAGGTGGGAAATGGGGGTGCGGCTTGAGGTGGGAGGAGGGGATAGGTGGGAGGAAGAACAGGTTAGGGAGGCGGGGACGAGCTGGGCTGGTTTTGGGATGCGGTAGTGGGAGGGGAGATTTTGAAGCTTGTGAAATCCACATTGATACCATTGGGCTGCAGGGTTCCCAAGCGGAATATGAGTTGCTGTTCCTGCAACCTTCGGGTGGCATCGTTGTGGCACTGCAGGAGGCCCAGGATGGACATGTTGTCTGAGGAATGGGAGGGGGAGTTGAAATGGTTTGCGACTGGGAGGTGCAGTTGTTTATTGCGAACCAAGCATAGGTGTTCTGCAAAGCGGTCACCAAGACTCCGCTTGGTTTCCCCAATGTAGAGGAGGCCACAACGGGTACAGTGGATGCAGTATAACCTACTCCAGCTCAGAGCCTCCCTCTCCCAGACCTGCAAAGGACCTCTCCTGTTTATTATTCTTCATAGGATCCACAACCTGAACTCACAATTCTACTCAGCTTTATTGGACACTGAAAACCGTAAGTACAGTAAACTTACTGGTGCCTACCACCCAAAATGGGCTTCCTCCACCTCCCAAATCCCCAGCCGTACCCAGGACCTTACCCACAATTTGCCCGCCGCCATTGGCCATGAGGCCACTGCCGGAGAACCCACAGATGACGTCACATCTGCCACCGCCGGGTACCCCACTTCCAGGACAGCGAACGCCATCGCTGCTGATGCCACCACCTCCATTTCCAAGGCCAACACCACAGACACTGAAGACGCACCTACCGTCGCCGCTGCTGCCGCCTACCCCGCTCCGCCCACCGCCGACACCGCTCCGCCCATCACCGACACCGATGCAACCCTGCCCACAGCCGCCGACGCAACTCCGTCCACAGCCGATGCCGACGTCACTCCGCCCACCGCCTCCACAGCCAGCAGCTCCAGAGGAGACAGCAACACTCAGCCCTGCCAAGTCTTCACCATCCCCCCAGACCTCCCCCTTACTGAGGACGAACGGTCAGTCCTCAGTAAAGGGCTCACCTTTGTCCCCCTCCACCCACACATCAACGAATACCGCTCACATTTGGACATAGAGCAGTTTTTCCGCTGCCTCCGCCTCCACGCTTACTTTTTCAACCGTGAACCTAACCATCCCTCTACTGACCCCTTCTCCCGCCTCCAACACACCCCCTCCTCCTGGACACCACCCCAAGGCCTCCTACCCTCCCTCGGCCTCTTCATCTCCAACTGCCATCGAGACATCAATCGCCTCAACCTCTCCACCCCTCTCACCCACTCCAACCTCTCCCCTGCAGAACGTGCAGCCCTCCACTCCAATCCCAACCTCACCGTAAAACCCACGGACAAGGGAGGCGCAGTTGTAGTATGGCACACTGACATCTACATCGCCGAGGCCAGACGCCAACTCTCCGACACCTCCTCCTACCGCCCCCTTGATCATGACCCCACCCCCGAGCACCAAACCATCATCCCCCAAACCATCCACAATCTCATCACCTCAGGTGACCTCCCACCATTGGCCTCCAACCTCATCGTTCCCCAACCCCACACCACCCGCTTCTATCTCCTTCCCAAAATTCACAAACCTGACTGCCCTGGTCGACCCATTGTCTCCACCTGCTCCTGCCCCACCGAACTTATCTCCACCTATCTTGACTCCATTTTCTCCCCCCCCCTTGGTCCAGGAACTCCCTACCTATGTCCGTGACACCACCCACACCCTCCACCTCCTCCAGAACTTCCAATTCCCCGGTCCCCAACACCTCATCTTTACCACGGACGTCTAGGCCCTATACACCTGCATTCCCCATACAGATGGCCTAAAGGCCCTCTGCTTCTTCCTGTCCTGCAGGCCCAACCAGTCCCCCTCCACTGATACCCTCATCTGCTTAGCCTAACTCGTCCTCACCCTCAACCACTTCTCTTTCAATTCCTCCCACTTCCTACAGACAAAGGGGGTGGCCATGGGTACCTGCATGGGCCCAAGCTAAGCCTGCCTCTTTGTAGGTTACG